AACTTTAAACACTTTTCAATTAAAGTATTTGCTCAATTTCACAGTTCATTTGAAATAATTAGTAATACTTTACTAGCAACAAAATAAGACTGAAGCATAAGAAATAAAATATTTAGAGTTCTATTAGTGGGAAAGTCTCAGTAGTTATAAGAACACAAACTAGACACTGTTTGGGGTAGACCAGATGTGTATAAAGACCAGACAGGAGCAATGTAAGCAGGGCAGAGAGGCAACTCAAATATGCCACCATCAGACCAAGTTGCAATCGTGGTTGAGAAGAGCTGCCAGAACCACTGGTCAATCATCAGCACAGAAACCTATCAATTTAGGAAAGAATGGTATCTACTGTATTTCCCCAGAACAAAGGCAAACCCAATTTTATGAACTCTGCCCTTCCCTCAAAACATGTGGCCAGGAAACATAGTATAACAAAAGTCCTGTAAAAACCTAGCTTTCCTACTAGATTGCCAACTTTTAACTAAAACCAGTCCTTCCTCTCCCCAATGAACACATGCACATGACATATTTGTGTGACTGCATGTGTGTAAGTACAGTCTACATCTGCCAAAAATGCTTCAAAAAGCTCAATGGTTGGGATAAAAATAAACTGAATTAATTACTATTAATTTAAATTACACGCCTCTAAAATTTATTAACTGTAAATAAAATAAATAAAAATAAGAAAATAAATTGAACCTCCTCTAAATAAACCCATAATTCTCTATCACACATAGAAACATACATGCACACATTCCCCACCCTCTTCTTTCAAGCATCAAATAGGAAAAATACTGAATGAAGATGGACAACAGGAACGATAGCTGAAAGGAGTAGAAACACAAAGGAACTGGATAGAAGTAGGGTAAGGGGAAAGGTAACTAGAGCGAGGATGAAAGGAAAATGAGAGATGTCCTATTTAAATGTTCGAAACATAGCTAAAAGTCACTAGGCAAATCTCCCCTCCCAAATAAACTCATTCTCAAAAGCATTCACACTTTTTTGTATAGCTTGCAATTATCTGTAACTCCTGCCCATTTCTTTTATTTTCTACAGCTTTTGCTATTCTTAACAGCCCCCTTATTGATCTAGGAAAAGAAAGCCTACTCTTAAATAGGGTAATGTTTCCAGGAAATCTTTTCATTTAAGTATTTCAAATTTCTAATACCTGACCATTTTTAAGTTGGTATTTTTAACATTCAAGTGCCAAACGTGGGCAGAAGGAAGGGAGGGAAAGAAAGAAAGAAAAAAAAGAAAGAAAGGGGAAAACAATGTAAGATACTAAAGAGACCACAAGGTGGCTCTGATCTGCTACAAATAAACACCCATTGGCCTAAAATATTACAGGATACAAAACAAGAAATCAAAATTTTATAGATTCCAAGAACATTCTTTAAAAAACATTCTGAATATTCATAATTGTTTGCTATACGAATGAATGCCAAAATCAAACACTCTGCACTATTAACATGTACAGAAAAATAAAAAGAGATAAAGAGTGAACACAACCCAGAAAACCCAGATCAGAAATCTAGCAAAAATTCTTCGCTATTTTCTGAAAATAAATACACACAAACACACACACAAAAACAAACACACACACACACATATGAGGAATGGGTAGTTAATGTCACTATACACTACTTTACAAGAAACTATCTCATTTCAGATGATGTAAATTGTGAGTCTCAAGTCTGCAGCCTAACAATGCTTAAACCAATACCCTAGAGCTGACTTTAAGGACCTTGCTTGTTAAGACATAATGGAATGATGATATATCTCTCTTAAGTGACTTGGATATACAACTCTAGATAAAAGTATTCTTAAATGTTACAGCAACTGCGTAAATATTGCTTGTGTACTATTCCAGTGTGATTCAAAGTATGACTTTTGAAGAATAACCAAATTTGGGTTTCAAATTTTTGAAGCCTTTTTTAAGATGAAGGAACCAATTGAATTCTCTGACACCTATTGTAGAAATGATATGAATAGGAAATGGGTAAATTAATTCATCAGATACTGACTAAATTATCAGCTCAGACTTTGATTCTAAGGCCAGAATGCCCCATATTAATTTGTCTGACCTCCTGTAAAGAAAATTACATCTCTTCCCATTATTTAACATCCGAAGAATCCAATTTGCATTTAGACAGACCTTGTCTAAGAAAAAAATAACTGTCCTCATTTTGAACAGTACATTTTATTTCTCCTTTCAGAACATTAAGGAACTACTAAAGTAGTTGTACTCCCCAACCACCAAAAATCTTTGGACCAGTTGCTTTGACTAGCTTTTAATCTCATTTTTCCATTATTAGGAAGAGAAAGCTGCTTTCTGTTGTCAGTTAAAGAACCAAAAGTCATCAGCAATAGTACTTTTTATCTTCTAGGAAGAACAAGGGGGAGGACAGCTTAGTCCATTCATATAAGCAGTCTTGTGAGGGTAGCAAACAGTCTGGCCTGTGAGCATTTCCTTCTTTGCAAGTATAGCACAGCAGGATAATAATTAGCCTGGACTCAACTTTATTGTTGTTATTGTCAATACATTTTTTTGCATTAAATGTTTCCTATCTTATTGCTTTGCTCTCCTAGCATCTTAAATCTCTTAGTCTTTAAACAAAGAAGGAAGATCCATTCATTTAGGTGCAATTCCATTTGAGCAAATGTTTCATTTTTCAAGCCACTATAAATCGACTAACCTGACGTCCAGAATAAAACACATGAACAAAGGTGCCCCAAGTTTAGACATAATGAGAAAAGCTTATGTTTTAAAACTCCACCGTGTATAAATGTCAAAGAAAAAGATGACAGGACTAATAGCCATTACTTAAGTATGTAACGTGTGTACGTGCATACACAAATATGCACGCACACCTTCAAGTCCTTATCGATTCCTGGTAAAATGCCCGGATAAGTCCTTGCAGTTTTCTTGGCAGCTTTTTCAGAAGTGGGCTGCCCTTGCTTGCTTCCTAGGGCTGAGAGTGAATGACTGGTTCAAAGTCACACCACTGGCTTTGTCTCCAAGGCATGGCTACAACTCAGTCTCCCGGTTTCTAGTTTGGTGCCTTAAATCTCTAGAACAAACTGGCTTTCTGCCTATGTTACTTTTTGCCAAAACAAATATCATTAACCTTTTATTTTTGCAATTAAACCTTTATATCTAGCATAAAGACAGTTTATTGACTTTAACAAATCTTTACAGCTTGGCTGTAAATGCCGTTAATTTTGCTGTTAATGGCCCTTTTCCAATAAAGTCCTGCTTCTGCTTCTGCTGATAACATATAGGCTGAACTTGTCCTTCATTTGGAAGCACAACGCTGCCTAGAAAACTCCCATTAGAGGTTCCCACTGAATTCAATGTAAGCTAAAATATTTTGACTCAAACATTACTGATTGCAACCACATGTAGTATATTTTGCTTACTAATAAAATGTGTCCTGCACCACAGACCTTCCTTTCTTGCTTACTGAATCAAACAATCTTTTGCATCTTCAGTCCAACAACTTCTAGAATATCTTATTAATAGCTTTATTGAATAAGAATGAATATTCTCTAACATAGAATCTTTTCTGATAATAAGAAAAGCTATGTTCTCTCTGTTCAATAAGGCAAAAGGTAATTGTACTTCCCAAGTTCCCTAAATAAATTTATTTACTTAACTTACTTATTTGATTTCTATAGCCACTTAGCAGGCAACTCTAGTCTATCTACCTAAAAAATGAAGGTACACCTGCAGTTCTTCATCAGTTTCGTACATCTCCCCACTCCTTTTTTTAAAAAACATCAGAGTTTGTCTTACATAATTCTTCAAGAACTTTTAAAAAAGCTTTAGAACTCAGATTAGTTCTATCATTCAAACCACTGTAAACATATTTGAAAGTGCATTCTATATTATCACAAATATGGCAATCTATTATATGTTTTATATTATTTGACTGATGTAATTATGTGCCTTATTCTGATCTTTCCAATGGCACCTTTGATTTATCTATATTTATTAAAAACATTCCTCCCTTCTAAAACCTACAAGTTACATAGACAAATGGGCTAATCAAAATATAACATACTTACATTGAATTTTATTATGTCATATATCAAGTACCGAGGAACAACTTGACCATTTACCTTGTCAATTATCATTTCCTTAAAAAGAAAAGCAAAACAGTATTTTAATATTCACTCAACAACTTTGGCAACAGTTCAACAATTGATTTTAATTAAAAAATATTTTATGCAGATTTCCACAACTGATTTTAGCTAAAACATTAATTATTTGGACACTCTTTTCAACATGGTTGATTTATTTTTGTCTTTTGTCAAAATCAAGCAGGCAACTGAAAGAGATGAGTAGGAAAAAAATGGAATGATGTAGCAACTTTCTTAGAATTTTATCATTTCTTTTTATCTTCAAGGATACAATTTACAATATCAAGATTTTAGCAATATTTTTTGTAAAGCAGATCCATTTAGAACTCCTGTTCATAACCCCTAGCAGAAAATAACCAAAACTGGGAATCCATAAAGATTATACCCAGATATTGTCATTCTAAGGCAAAGCTACAGCGGTACATTCATCTGAATAGCACATTCTACCTTTCATTAACATGAAATTAATCAAATCCAGGAATTGCAACATTACTCTGCTGAAGGCAATAATTATTATGAGCCATGATGCAGAATCTGACTCTGACCTTGAATCTGATGATGTTGCTCCTGTCTGTGCCTCAAGATTGTCAGCCCCAGGAATCAGTAAGCCAGGATTCAACTGAGGCTGAACAGTCACAGACGTGCCCTGTTCCACTAGAGCAGACAGGTAACTTTGCACACACACCCCAAGTCCTAGATGCATACTGAGTCAAGCAGAGCAACAATCCTTGATGACGCTCTTCACTAAGCAAAAGGTGAAGCATGAGTAATTGCAGACAGCTGTCTGCAGACAGATTTAGATAGCTCCTTTGCAGCCTTTGTTGGAGACCAACCATTTGGCTGCCCAGCTCAGGAACAGCTTCTTCCTGTTTCTTGTTTGTGATCCCTTGACCAGCTGACTACCTGATTTGGCTTTCTGTGACTCCTGGAAAGTATTTGGACTAGGCTATTGCTTTTTGGACTCTAATGACACTTTTCAGGCAAGCACTCTCTGGTAGGCATTTGAATTACATTTCAGTCTGTTGTTATTTACTTCAACTACAGTAAACAAGTTCTGAGTACTGTATCTGTGTGTGTCTGTAACTTTGAAAGAAAACAATAGGTGAGAACAACAGAAGTCTCTATGAAGATTTCTATTATCCCTGTTGTGTTGCTAAGAAAACAAAAAATAACTATGGCATAGTCGGGTGATGCTCTGAACTCCCAATAAAGAATTCTGAAGAACTAATAGATTTAGTTGCAAAGTGATTATCTTTAACAAGCACTTTATATTTTATTAGAACTATTCCTGACCTTGAATATGGTTTTCAATGCACTAAATAAAAACAGCTTTTATTCAGGTCAATATTAAACTTGTGCTGCAATGGATAATATGACCTCTGATTTATTCTTAAATGTCTTTTTTTTTTTTTAATCTTCTAGGTTTAGATGAAGAAAGAGTCTACTTCTGAAAGAAAAACCTCTCACACTGCATTGAAGTCATTGGTCCTGGGAAAAGATAGGGTAGCAAATCTGAAAAAGATATCGCTCAACGTTGAATTGAAAGTTATGGGTTGGGTAAGGGATCTTATTACTGCCTGTCAGTTTAAATAAACCCAAGTGTGAAACTACATAAAGTGATGGTGATTAAAGATTTTAAAAGATATATCATGATTCATTTCTTTCTCTACCAGCCACCATGAACATCATTGTGGTTACTGTAGGGACAAAATGAAGGAAAATGCCCATGTAAATTGCCCTGAGCTCCTGGACAAAAGGCAGAATATTGGTCAAATATATAAACATGCTTAAAATACACAAGAATTAAATCCGCTCAAGAAATGATGTGTAGATACATGTTGCTCTAACACCAGGGCATTTTTGTAAAGTTCCATGATAAAATAAATATAGTAGGATCTCCGGCCAAGGACAAATTTCAGTCTTTCAATTGGTGACTAACATGACAGTGACACATTTCACTACTAATGATCTATCACAACTTGTAGCATAAAGAAAACTTGCTTTGTAACGGGATTTTTATAAAATGATGTACTGCTGATACTTGTCACCAGACCAATTTTCTAGAATCTATAAAGTTACTTCAAATACGTTGGAAATGTGAGCATGAAGAAACATTTTATCATGTTTGGTGCAAATGTAAAAAACCCAAAACATTTTGGATACAAATGCACACACTAATTCAGAAGATTCTAAAGGTTAAAATACAACTGAAACCAGATTCTGCATGGAACATGCCGAGATGGCTAAATTAACTTCTTCAATTAGAGAAAAAACATCTACATTGATAGCTGACTGGTAACCCCATACAGATTTTTCACATGAAATGAGGGAGATTGCACTTATGGTTTGTGGTTTTGATGATTAGAAAAAAACTGTATAATAGAAAAAGAGCACTTTTTCTTTTCTTTGTAATCACACAGCAAGAATTAATTTTGTAAAGGTATTTCTATTTGCTAGGAGCCATGGTGGCGCAGTGGTTAGAACGCAGTATTGCAGGCTAATTCTGCTGACTGCCAGGAGTTCAATCCTGGCCAGTTTAAGGTTGATCCAGCCTTCTATCCTTCTGAGATCAGTGAAACGACGACCCAAATTGTTGGGAGCAATATGCTGACTCTGTACCCCACTCAGAGAGTGCTGTAAAGTGCTATGGGACAGTATATAAGCCTAAGTGCTAAGTCTAAGTGCTATTGTTGCAGAAGAAACTGGAAGCTTCTTTTTTCTGCTCTTTCTGCAGTTTTTTCTTTCTTTTCTCCTTTAACTCCTTATTAGTTTGTGCATTTTGTAAAACTTTTAATAACATTTCTTAAAAACAAAACAAGTGTTGATTGATGCATTTATTTGCTATTTCACCAAAGATCACTGCAATCTTAGATTAAAATAAAGTCATATTCGTTCATCTGTGGAATGACGGTACCAGAAAAAACAAGGAGCTATTTCTATTAAAATTTCTCACTTTTAATGGTTCTCTGATAAGGTCCAACTCTGGAACTTGGGAATAAAAACAATAAAATAATAATATTATTATAGTGTGGCAATAAGAAACCAATCCCAAGGACACATATTTGGTAAATAGCAATTTATTTTGTGAACCCTAGGAGTCTGCCCTACTAGGATAGTATCTGCGCTTTACCATTACAATAATCACTACAAAATCCAATACTGAATTTAAGGAAAGCATGATTCTACAAAGAAAACCTCTTACCCCATCCAAAAGAGTATTTTCTAAATGCACACGTGGATCTTTACGAAATGGAAACTCCAAATTAGACACATGAAACACAGAGTTATCTCTGTCAATCATATAAACTTCATTCTTACCATCAATTAACATCATATACCTAAGGGGAAAAAAGAATGTAATATCAATTGAAATTCTATTTCCTTCATAATGTTTACTCTATAGTTATTGAATCTTACCCCTCTTAACAAACTTTTTTTTTTCAAAAAGAAAGGGAAACTACTACTTTCAACTCAAGCTGAGTTTGAACCATTGGTTTTTTAGGATCATCTATTGTTCATGTAATTTCATACTACATTTGAAATGACATTAGGCAAAACAGATATACATAATTGAAAATTACACATTGCACACTCTTTAAGCAAGCAAGAACACAATGAATGCTAAAGCATAAATCTTCATGCTCAGACCTGCCTACAGCTTGCTAAAAATTGCATTTGTCAAGGCTGGAACAAAATGAAATTTAAAAAAAAAATATTATATATGCTTAATATATAACATCATTGGAACAAATCTCTGTAATGCAGAAAAGCAAATGTGTCCAGTTACTTGCACGTACTGTTTCCCTGAAAATAAGCCCTCCCCCGAAAATAAACCCTCCCCGAAAATATTTAAGTGTATGCGCAGCCGGTCCCTGTCATTTCCTCTGGTTAGGGGGACAGAGCTGGAAATCAGGTAAGATGGCAAGAGGAGCCCCAAAATAATAAGACCTCCCCAAAAATAAGGCCAAGCACTTATTTCAGGGTTCAAAAAAAATATAAGACAAGGTCTTATTTTCGGGGAAACACGGTGTGCATGATTTATTTTGAACCAAAGGAATAGCAGACAACTTGAACTTCAGAGCTAAATACTTGCCAAGAAAGTCAATAGCAAATCATCTTGACAGACATACAGTATACAGTACACTCAAATATCCATTTGTAACTTGATGAACAATGGAATATACCTTAATGAATGTTCATGAAGCTCTTTTAAAAACTACCTGTAGAAAACTCCAGTATTCATTCAACATTAAAAATATTTTACTTAATATAGTTTACTATCACATTATCTTACTGCTTTCATAGCCAGGTAATTTAAGCCAGGTAATTTAAGCATCCTTAATCATTACTAAATCAATCTACAGTATATATTTTTATAGGTTTGGTGATTTCAAAATTGTAACTGAGAAAAAACTAAAACTTTATTGGAAATTTAGGCATTTCAGAAATTCAACCTGCCATGAGCATAAAAAAACCTCCTTTTTTACAACCCTGTAATCCATTAATTCAGGGTAGAGTGGGGGTGACTGGATGGAGCATAGCACTTACTGGCTGGATGCCCTAGGAGAGAAACATCTGCCTCTATCTAGGATTGCATTCTCAACCTTCCAAGTGGGAGGCAAGTGTCTTTACCACTAAGCTACCATGTTGCTCAAGCATAAATAACTGTTAATACTTTATATATTAATTTGTATGTAGTACTGAACTCATAATATACTAAATATTATCTTTCTTTGGGCTTTCTTTTTTTAAAAAGAAAAACTTTTATATGACTAAAAACTTTTTTCTTACCATAACCTCAGCCCCATGTTATATGGACAACAACAAGGACACTATTAGGACTATCATATTTGGACAAGTATTTAGAGCTTTTGGACAAGTATTTAGAGCTATTTTCAGTGGATTTTGTCTATCTAACATGAAATTATAATGCAATTGCCAACTTTCCAGTGTTTATGAGACTTTAAATTTTTCTATTCTTGCTACTTATTAGACACCACGATATACATATATATTTACCTGGATATATTTGTATTATAAACCAACAGCCATTTTCAGAATTAACTAAATTGATGTTTCATCTTTTTATTTAAATAATATGATTTTTTCTCTTTGGGTTTCTAGAACAATATTTTCCATGTTGGTATTGAACACATGTTCAGAATCATCTTAAGTTCAAGTATAAATGAGATCTCATAAACCTAAATTCTTCCCATTCCTGCATTAAAATATTGCATTGAAAAGAAGAAAAAATGAGGATGTAGTAATTTTATAAACTATCAGGAAGTGATTTCATTAACATCACTTCAAAGAGATATTTCATTTTACCTACTACATCCCAGCAATACTTTTGACCTGAGGAAAAAAAACTGTTTTATTTACTGGTTTTGCCTATAAGCATCTCTGTGCATTTGAGAAATGCAACCACTGTGATTTTATGCTGAATTACTTAAACCAATAGAAACCCCCAATCATCAAAATATTATTTATGCAAGTTAGAAGTTAATCAGGTTCAAATGTAACAACAGATGTTGCACAGAAAAGCAGACTGAGCTAGCATGTTCACATTTGGTTTGTTACAGCTAACAACTATGCACATGTTATTAAAATGCAACAATTATTTTCCAAAACAAAACAAAACAATTTCCTCAAGCTAAAGGAACATTGCCTCTATGTGTCTCTTTTAATAATTTCAGGAAATTACAAGTAAGCCTCAAAAGCAAAATTATTACATTTCCTAACAATTGGATTTCACGTAATCGGTTTTGGTCAGTTTGCACATTTCTATACATAAAATGTAGGATTGCCTTCTCATAACTGCCATTTATTTCGCAGACTACCAACATCTTTTTAAAATTATCTGTAGCTTTATTCTCCTAAAGATGAGTGTCTCATTACCTTTGCTATGCCATTCAGGCCTGAACATTCAACTCTACTCATTAGAAAAAACATCTGCTACAAACATTATTAATGAGGTATGTATCTAGGGACTGGAGAAAGCCACTAACCACCTGGGCTAATTATACTTTTTATTATAAAAGCCAAGAGCACCACATATAGAGAACAAACCTCTCCTTCCTGTGATAATTACCTTTCTTGTATAATTTCAATTTTGATAACCTACTTCTTCCAAAGTTATTATGTTTGTAAAACTATAGCTCCCTGAACTATTAAATTTAGAAGCCACCTGACTCCAAAATGACTCTGGGCAGCTTATATTTAAATAGGGGGGGGAAAAAGAAAGAATTAATCTAAGTATCTGCAAAAACTATCAACCAATCATTCAGGGTTCCCCAAATATCCTATCCTAGGGCTTAGGAAACTAGACAGACTTTTAACAACTTGTACAATATCATCAAGATAGCACCCAAATTAAGCTCTGGAGGTGTCACAACAGAGAAGGTATACCTCCTGGGTCCCAGGTGACAATCCCAGATGTTGGTTCACTTTCAAGTTCTCCTT